CGGACTAGGGTTAGGAACCTCAGTGGGGCTGGCGGCTGCGATCAACCTCGTGTCCTGCGCCTTGGCCCCCACCTTCCTCTTTATAGCGCTGCGCGACGGGAGCCAATCAGCTAGGAGAACGGCTGGGCGCCCCTGATCAGGGCGCGGATCAAAGGCCCAATTGACCGTTGGGTTAACTGGTGGAGATCATTCTAACAGCTCCATGTCATCCTCCCTGGGCCTAGGCACGCGCTCGATGTACCCACCCAGCACAACCTTCCTGTTCCTCGCCACCACCTGCTGCTCTTGCTCCAAATCGCCGCCGTCGTCACTCACCACACGCTCGGGCTTTTGCCACGGCAAATTCTTCCCGTGCGCGCAGACCACAATCACGCGTGCGAGAGCGCACGGGCTCCGCACACCGTTGAGTCGGGGCGACATGCCCTACAACGCTGCTGGAGCTGTCCTCGCAGCCTCGGAGCACAGGCCTTCCCCGTCGCCTCGCAAGGCGACGCAGTCTCCGTCTCCAGGCTTGGATAGGGTGTTTTTTACAAAAACGTCAACGAAGAAACAGACTGAAAGGACCCATTGTACATGCCCTAAGCCTATCTCCAACAACAACACCCAAAATACAAGACATATTCGTCCTTTGGGTAGCGCTATAGGCAAAAGGTTTAATACTTATTCAGCATCTTCTCCAACAACAAGATCCAAAAGAGAATCCTTTCTGTAAATGGGTTTCCAGAAGAGTGGATGCCCATATTTGGGTTATGCCTCTCAGGCAACTCAAAATAGGTCTTCTGTATAGTTACTCTGTTGGAGGCTGATTTTGGGTATCTTGCTACCCATTTTGGATTTGGGTGCCCATATGAGTTCCTTGTTGGAGACAGTCTAAAGTGGTGCTACAAATGTAACAACAAAAATATTAAAAAATGGAGGGTAAAAATGGTGATTTAAAATGGAGGATAAAAATGGTGATTTAAATAAAAATGTATGTGAAAAAGTTCATGGGCAACCCTAGAGTAGTGATAACAAATGGAAATACAAAGTTTTAAAAACATGGAGTGTTGCGATAATCTAACTCGTGACCTCTCACACCTGAAGCGAGAATCATACCACTAGACCAAACACCCGTTTTGATGTCATGAACCTGTGGTTTTTCTTGTAAATAAAAGCGTCTGAAACAGCAAAACTGCAAGGTTGTTGTTACCTGTCAGTGCTTTGCATTTTTGCCTTTCGGACGTTGCAGATCCTCCTGACAAGACTGACGACCGTGAGAGGTGTCGAAAGATTGAGCTCCTTTTTGTTTTATGTTCTGAAAAGAACACGTTCGGTGGTGTTCTTTGGTTCTTTCAGGCTCCTTACCCGCCCAATTGTCTTTTCAGAATTTTATTTTACTGGGTCCAGTTTATAGGCATCAATTTGAACAAGTCCGTTTAGATGCACAAGTGAATCTTGGATGGTGACTTTGTACACGATTGTGTTTAGTTGTGGGATGGAGGCTGCATTATATATGGTTAGATGCACTTTCAAAGATAAAAATAACATGAGGTTATGATCATGTTTTTTATTTTGTACAAATATACTCTTAATGTTCTTGTTTTATCTTATTACTAGCAAAGTTCCATGTGCGTTGCAATAGAGATGTTGGTGATGGCAGAAACACCACGACAATCAATTTCATAATTTTAAGGAGATGAAAACTCTTTGAGCCAATATTCTAACCTAGTTCATTTATTTTGTCGTGATTTCTTAGATACTATTGTTGGCTGTATTTCTAATTATTTGGTACAATAATAAATTTATAGTTATTGTGGACCAATCAGCAAATCTTGTTTATTTTTCCAACAAAATCCACTGATGGCTTTGTGTTTTAGAGAAGGACACGGAATGTAGTGCAGAATCGAAACTTTTGGGACTCGTTGGACGGTGTGGTCAATCAGACATGCTCGTGCGTTATATCGGGACTACAATTTATTTCGCTCTGTCCACACGAGCACAACTGCGCAGCGAAGCCACAAGCGGGCACATCGGCCACGACATGACGCGCGACCGGTGTCACCGGCCACGGCCAGACAATTTAGGCCGACGGCGTGACAGCCACCATGCAGACCTCAGCTTGCACTGCATGACAGCCTAGGCCTTGTTTAGATTCTAAGTTTTTTTACTCTCTCTCTTATCACATCAAATTTTTAGACACATGTATGAAGTATTAAATGTAAATAAAAAAATAATTAATTACACACTTTGATTCTAAATTACGAGACGAATCTTTTGAACCTAGTTAGACCATGATTGAACAATAATTATCAAATACAAACGAAAATGCTATAGTGTCAAATACTGATTTTTAATCGCAAACTAAACAAGGCCCTAGTTGGGTGGCACCATGCCCCCGTACATGTGCATATTCGGTGATGACTAACGGAACGCTACTGCCTACATATCTAATCTATATTTATATCTATCGTTCGCAATAAATCAGTCAACAGTATTTTTTCAATTAATGAATAGTATTTTTTTCTCACAATAAATCAGTCAACAGTACTTTCAGCCATGGCTTATTAGCCAAACATATATAGAGATTATATTCAGTAGCCAGCTATAAAATAAGTTATTCTGTAGCCACCTCCATTTACAATAATTTTATATATTAATTTACAATAATGTCAATACATATTACGATAGTTGGGTTACTATAACATATGGGGATATTTACCATAATGTTACAGTAAACCACTTAGTAAGGAGTTACTATAATCTCATAAATTAACATAGTAATTATAGTAACTCAAAGTAGCTATAGAATAAGTTATTTTACAGCCAGCTACGGGTATATATATATATATATATATATATATATATATATATATATATATATATATATATATATATATATCGTCCGCTCAACCACCACCGTAGCCGCGCCCGCATGAGTGTCGTCCCTCCCCACCATACTGTCGCACAGTGTGCCATGGTGTCTACCACGTGACCGGCCCAAGTTGCCTCCCCATAGTCAGTGACACAAGCACGCTTCCTGTTGTGGCCATTGTGCCCACGTTCGGCTCCTCGTAGTGCAGCTATGCTTATGCGTTGGTAATACAACAAATTATAGTCTTATAGTCTTATTATAATATGCGTGCATGTTTGCAGTTTGCTAGTCTAGAGAAAGAAAGAACGACGGCAAAACAAGAAAAAAAGACAGAGAAAACAATCGGAACGGAGGAGAAAAAAGAAAACGAAAGAAAGGTAAAAGAAAACGGAAGAAAGGAAAGAAAAAAAAAGACTGAAACGAACACGGAAAAACAAAAGATCAGATCGAGAAAAAAACAGAAGAAAATAATAGAGAGAGATCAACGAAGCAACTCTTCTTTTCTTTTGGGATTAAAAAGTCGGAAATAAAATACTAAAGGACGAAGAAATTATGGTGCAGTTCGCTGGTCAGAGCCTGTTCGGCTGGCTTTAAGCCATGGCTGGTTCGGGCTCTCACGAAATCACTGTTCATATCCTTGTTAGAACAGTATTTTTCTCTCACAACAATCAGCCGAAACAGTATTTTTCAGTCCTAACAAACAGCCGACTGGTTTCCCCTCACGTGTTAATGTTCACCAAACCAAATTAACAAGATTTCCTCTCACAACAAACCAAATTTTAACAAAGTGTTTTCAAATAAGTTTCGCACCAAATGAACGGGGCCTATATTCACTTCGTTATTGCTGGTTGGTTCAACCAACCCAAAACCAAACCAAAAACCCCAACAATGTTTCCCTCTCACAAAAAACCAACACCAGCCAGTCCAAACTAGCACCAGCACCAACCAGCGAACACGCCCATTGTTAACGTTGACCAATACGTATTGTGATCAAACTCGGTATCTAACATCACTTGGAATTGGACTCCATATCGCGCTTGACAAGAGCTATTCTAACTCGTATGTGCACGTATTATTATCTATTTCTATTCCTCCTAATAATAAAGAGGTCCATTCATTTTTTCGTGCATCTTCCTCTAACTACTAGACAATGACGAGTTTTTCCATCTAGACTTATATAATAGTTAGAGAGACGGACGAAAAAATAGATGAACGAAAAAAAATGACAGGAAATTTTGCCTCTTTATTATTAAGAGAAATATATATGTCTTAGACTTCTTTAAAATGCATTATATCACTTGATATATACTAATCACACTAATAACATCATTAGCTGGATACGGCTACATCTAGCGACTCTAGCTCCTCAACGTTCAAAATTTGCTTAAAGGCCTCTTTTCAATCCCGTGAGCAGAATCTAGAATACAGTATATGCAACCCATTAGTAGAAACTTGCATCCCGCTAGCCTATGCCAAACAATCGTCAGCCTGTTCGGTTGGCTGGTTCGTTTCGTTGCTGGTTCGTGAAAAAATACTGTTGGCTGGTTTGTGTGAGAGAAAAATATTATTCTGACTAAAAATTTACGATCATTTAAGACAAGCCACAACCAAACGAGAGTTTACGACAAACCACAGCCAAACGAACAGGCTCGTTCCCTTAGTTTCACGAGACCCATCCGATAGGACCGTAGTTTCTTCCATTGTTGTTCTTTGATTATTTGGGCTTTAGAATTTTAGACTGTACATTGGTAAGAGAAAAAAAAAACTTGCTCAATTACCCTCTCAGAATTGTAGTCGATCAAAGTATAGGCAGCAATTTGAAAGAGTATAGGATCAATCTGAACAAGTCGGTAGTAATAGACATCGTCGCAGAAGGCCAAAAAACTGGACATAGCCTTGATGGTCCGGCACTCCAGGTGTTTGGCAGATGCGCGAGCGCGCGCGCACAGACACACACCAAAGAGTGTTCTGAATTTACAATTATCGTTGGCACCAGTACAGACGGTACCCAAATAATAAGAGCTTGCATTTTGGAATGTACAGATATTTAAGTCGTGATGTCATAACTCCTCCACACAGTTCTCACGCGTACTCCAGCTTCCTACCATTGTCATATGGAACATGGGAAAGACTGCGGGGTTAAAGTCCACTACATGATTGCGATACCGGCGAACACAATTTGGTGGCAATTCTGTGCACATGACACGGCGAACACATCAAACGCCTGAAAAGAAAAGGCGAGCAACTTCGTGTGCTCTAACATTTGAATCCCCTGCAGACCATCAGCCAAAGGATGAGAATCAGAGCCGCAATGCCGCCACCCACCATCAGCTTAAACCTCAGGTTCTGAAGCCACATCTTTCTCCTCAACTCTCTGCCATGCCTGTGGAAGCTGTCAGCCTGAAACAATTTAAAGAAAAAAATTCTCAGTAAACGTTGCTGATTCTTATAACAGCATTTCGCATACATCATCATACAGACATAGAACACTGAATAAATACCTGTGACTGTAAGGTCTCTGTCTTACCCACCAAAAGCTCAATCTTCTCACCACGATCCAATATCTGACCAAAAGTCCAGCATAGTTAGAAACTAATTAATATGGCAGAAGCATAAGAGGTAGAACTCTCGATTAAGTTTAAAGATAAGAAGTCATCACTGTTGATTGCAGTGATTCTCCTGTTGAGTGCTAATTACAATGGACCCTAAACATAGATTGTTGAGCTATACTGCAGGTAGAAGACTTGGGATAAAAAGTGCACAACCTTTAAAAACAATTTCTAGATACAACAATGGACTGGACCGACAATGGTATGTCTTGGTCTAAAATAGAAGGAAACCATTATTTGTTCAAATTATACCTATAACCTAATGAGTACTAACAGCACTAGATGTTCCATTGGTTATTCAAACTGTACCTAGTGACACCAGTACAACACGAACACCAATGTTCATGAACTTCTTCCTAACTCTTAAGTACTTTCATGTAAGGGCAGGTCAGATTTAGCACACAGTAATCTATCCCACAGGTAGAGGCAATAAAAGGAGACTTGAAAGGATGGAATATACCCAAAGACTTAGCCTTAGATAGGAGTGCTTGGAAGACAGCTATTCACATGCCTGAACCTTGATTGCTTCTGCTGGGTTTCAACTCTAGCCTACCCCAACTTGTTTGGGACTTAAAGGCTTTGTTGTTGTTGTTGTAATCTATCCCACAGGTGTGTGTTTACAATTTCTCTATGGTGTTAACAATCAATTTCAGAAGGGTGTCTATTCTCTTATTATACTCTAGAAGCCTGGACCTTATGGCTGCACCGCACTAGGTGTGTTTGATGGGGCATCTCCGATCCTGGCTAGAGCTCTTCTGCTCGCTAGTGAGGGTTTGGCTGGAGCACGAGGAATTTCTTATCTCTTTATGCTTCAGCCGAACAACAGTGGAGCTTAGGTCATGGTCACGTGTTTTTTCAATGTAAAAGGCACATATGGCTGTTTAGAAACCTGGGTGTGTGGTGTGTGTTTGTAATTGCTCTTACCCTTTTTTCTTCTTAATTTAATGAGACACAGCTCTCTTGCGTGTTCGAGCAAAGAAAGTAATCTATCCCACAGAGACTTTATAAAAACATAGTCTCTACCAAAATGCAGGTATATGTGATGGCCATACTACTGAAAAACTTCAAAAACATATTGTCTCTACCAACTGGTTGCTCAAATACAACAGGGATAAATTATGCTCAAAATAGTATGATGTCATCGCTAAATATGTCATTCAAATAGAACAATGAAATTATGAGCACACAGAACAGTAGAGTTAAGAGCCTTGTTTGTGCAATACTCCTTTTTGCCATTTGCTTGTAAAAAGTGAAATGCATGTGACATGATACCTCTCTGGATAGCAAACATTAAGCTGAGGGCATACCTTCTCAATGTTGTCCATCATGATCCCTTTGACATCCGATAAGTGGGCTTTCACCTTGGAGAGCTTGTTAATTTCCTCCGGATGATTAACACAATACTGCATATGATCCTTCAACCTTGGGCTACACCAACAAAACATAAGGACCGGTCACATACCCTCCTCTTTCATGGCACACAATACAGCCATATAGGTACATCTAATCTAAATCGAACATTTGGACAATGATTTCATACCCGAATTCACGGTCAAGGTTGTAGGCAATGCTGAACCGGTCCTCAAACAGAAAGTCGTCCTCATCGGCATCATCAGCGAGTGGGTGCTGCCCCTCCTCGTCGATACTGGACCCATACCGCTGCATGAAGTCTTCCCTAACTCTCTCTAGGAAGACGAACGGGACGCTCCTCCCGGCCGTCTCATCGGCGACCACCAGGAACACTACATCAAACATCATGTGTACAATGGTGCCAGTCAACTCACGGTTCAACGCCGCACCGCAGAGGGCGCAAGGAAAGGAGGGGACCGAAGAGGGCAAAAAACACGGTACCGAAGTCGCGATCGACGAGGAAGTTGAAGGTGTGGCCATCACAGGAGTAGGTGGATCTGGTGCTGTTGGGGGGAAGCTTCTGGAGGCACTGGACGGCGACGGTGCTGAAGTTGCCGGAGAAGGCCGTGTGCTCCGCCAGCATGACGGAGCCCTTGGCCACGAAGCTGTAAATCAGCGCCTGCTTGCTGCTGTTCATGGCGCCCCGCCACAGAAGCCGCTAACGGAAACCCTAGGACGTAATAATCGACGGCGGTAGGAATCAGCACGCGAATTCACACGAGGAGACGAATTATAAACCGAGAGTACCAATTCGATCGGATCTCACAGGTCGGGAGAGGTCAGACTCCAAGGAGGATGAGAGGGGTGGATGGTTCTGGAAGGGGCGTTACCTGTGACAAGCCTTTGCTTCGTCTCCTTCCTTGGTTCCCGCGGCGGGTAGTAGTTGAAGAAGAAATCGATCGAACAAGCTTTTGTGGGGTGGGAAAATACAATCGTGTTTTTGGAAGGAAAACGAGTGGGGATTAATTCCAAGCCTCGTCGTTGCCTTCGTTGTGAGTTAACCATGAAATTACATATTTACCCTTGCCTCCTTGGAAGAGGCCTGTATGTGGGCCCAATTACTGTGTCTGACCGCTGGAGTTTTCAGGCTTTGCACAAGACTGCAAAGTGCATTGCACCTCATGTCAGTGTCAGGGAAGAGATTCATTTTGCTGTTTCCAACACTATCACGTCATATAAAATAAAATAAAAATTAGTTGCCCATTCGTTTGGCAGTGGCTTGTCGTAAACGATCGTAAATTTCTAATTGGAACAGTATTTTTCTCTCACACAAACTAGCCAGCAGTACTTCTTCACAAACCAGCAACGATACGAACCAGCCAAACGAACAGGCTGCTTAATGCAAAGTTTAATTCTAGAGTTTCATAAACATTTAATTTTAAGACTCACAGAGAGTTGACAATTATACCAAGAGAGTTTCATCCTATAAAACTCATTTCTTCTCTTTCTACGTTAAAACATTGTTATGTCATTAAAAAATACATATGTTTGGCAGACTATTAAATACAAAGAAAATCTTATGAAACTCTCACCGAGCCCGAGCCTGACCTTAGGTAGCACGGGCCCTGTGCAATAAGGAGTAGGTGCTAGTTAGTTTAGCAAAGTCCCTGAGTGTATAGCAATTTATGTGAGACCCACTGCACCGTGTAACAAAATAAAAATATATGTTCTCTCTCCTGGATGTGGGCCCCACCATATCAAGGTAAAAATCTCCTTGCTTCATTACGACTGTTGATAGTAGTGGGCTATGGCATTTAATGGTGGCTTGCTCAAATTAGTAGTGTCCGCTAAGCTATTTAACATTTTGAGAAAATATATGTAATTTATAGGTTAGAGCAACCACTATTCTAATAGAAATTCAAGTGATCACATAACATAATTGGAAGTAAGTTGAAGACCGAACGTATAGAGTCTGTTTAGCACTTCTAAATAAATATTGTAGCCTGTGTAAGCCATTTAGCTGTCTCTATTGCCCGATAAGCGACCAACACGGCAAAAAGTAAAAAGCATAGTGGGGAGAAGTTCTGTTTGCCATAGCTTGCTATTTTCAATGTTGTTCCTCACTCACGGGCTAGATCAGCTATCTCCATTGTAGTTTCTCTTTCTACTCGAGACTGATGAGAAGCTCATGGGGATGAGATCTAAGGCGGTCTCCGCTATCTCGTTGCCTTCGATCCCAACATGTGCGATGACTGCCACTCGTTCTCTTCCTCACGCATTCAATAGAGCTGGCCCTCCCTCACAACCCTAGTGCGTTCTAGATCCCGAAGGTTGGAGGTCACCCACGACTTGAAGACCAGCAAAAATAGATTCTCCACCTACCAATGGTAGAGCTAGCCTAGTGAAGGTGAAATTGGGATCCAACCCATCCCATGCCTTGTCCAACTTGAAATTCCGAAGTAAGTCAAAGCTTGTCGATGCTAGAAGTCCGCAAATGCAGATAAGTAAGCCCAATAGTCTACACCTGTAAATACTACAGAAAAAAATAATGTAAAGCTAAATCAATCAGGTGTTCGAAACACATAACACTTTTTATAAGAAGAAATGAAGTTTCTATATTTCAGATGTAAGTTTTAGGCAATAATATTAAATAGTCAACAAATAAAAGGTCAACTCACAAGAGATAATTCATAATTTTTTATAACTAAACTATAACAAAATTGTATGTTACCCGAACAATAAAAAAAAATCAGACCCTAAACCATGCATCTGGCCATCCGGGAGAATTTTGAGTGCAGCTAAGCTTTCGAAGTGAAAATCCATGCATGTCACAAGTCGTCGCGACACAAGGCCACATACGTGCAAAGTCTAGAAAATGACCAAGGAACATTGACTGCTGAAGAGTAATAAACTTAGAAAATGACGTGTAGAGCTTAGTTTAGTTTTTTATATTAGTGCAAGAACAATTAGTACAGATAATATCACTCACAAAAACTAAATATGTTAAAGCACCTAAAGATACAACATCCCAAGTTTATAAAATGGCAATTGCAGTTCACATTAAGACCTCCAATTCCTGGAGTTAGAGCTGAACTCCAAACCAAACAGGTGCATGCATATGCTTCATGGTGTAAGTTGGAGAGTAGAGTTGTACTTAGAGTTTATAGAGTGGAGCTCTACTAAACATGTCCTTAACGACCTTTTTTATGGATTTTTTTTTTGTTTACTCAAGTGCGTTTCAAGTTATGTTCTAAGTCAAATGTTAATTTATTTAAAGTTTTAATTAGATTTTAGAGAAGACCATATCTGTGACACTAAATAGACAAGCTATAAATATATTTCATAATAAATCTAATGATTTAGTACCATAAATATTTTTTTATAAACTTGATCAAACACAAATGATTTTACTTGGGCCATGTTTGGATCTTTAGAATTTGGTTGAATTGAATCACTTTTTTGGTCTAGCCTTGGTTGCGGTCAAGAAATGAAAACTGACATCAGAAGAATTTTGTTAGTCCGGAATTTTAACCTGCATCAAGTTCCTGCGCTCCTCCTTTCGCTCGCAACCAGCCGCTTCCAAGCATCTTCCCCCAGCGTGCACTTCTTACCTTCCATCGGATGAGACGCTAGTCGAGTGGTCTTCTTTCTCATCACCCTTCCTCTCTCTCTCTCCACGGCCGTCCGTAGAGCATGTACACGTTGTGGAGAGAAAGCATGTATTTCTTGTAGAGAGAACCTTAGCTTTGGTTGTTGATTACGTATTTGCATACCCAAACATCTATTTGAATTTGATTCTAAGAAACAAATTCCATATCTAGCCAAACAGAAAATAAAGGATTTTGAATCACTTTCTAGCCAATTCAGCTCCTTTTTAAAACCTGCAATGGAATTTGATTGATGGAATGGCTTTCAATATCTAGGTTTCAAACAGGGTAGAATAAAGTTCGCAATGTGCTACCTTTTAGAACGAAACAATAGACAGGTTTTTTTTTTAGCAAACCACCATATCAAAATAACATATCATCATTCAATTTTGGACAAAGTTGGAAATGCACTATTCTTTAGAACGAACCAATAGACGAGGACACGAGGTATATTCTTCCTAGCATAAACCAACCTATCAAAACGACATAACACCCTCTGTGGAACCTACCCACCTGAGTTTATATCCTGAACTTGGCATATGTGCAAGAGTTACACTAGCTAGACAGACACATATGTGCAAGAGTTACACTAGACCGTTGAAGTTGAAGTTCGGGGTCTATGAAACCCCTACCACCAGTCCAGGTTCGAAGGCTGGCACAAACTTCTAAGAACAAAATAAGGGGGACATCTCTCCCCCGAGTCTGTTTTATGTGCAAGAATTTCAACTAGACAATAATATGCCCTCATACGTATATAACGTTGAGTGGAGAGGCCAATGAATGGTTGTACCTAATACCACAAACACTAGATTAGAGCATAACGAGCGTTTTGTCTTTAACAGCATCTGGGCAAACAGAATTTAAAGAGTAGGCATATCCATTGACTTTACAGTTTACACTACATCAAACAAAAACAGATCCATGGGTGTGAAATATCCAAGTACACGATAGTCATACAGGCGCAGGGCCATTATCAATCAGAATCAGAATCATGCCTCCTCTTCTGCTTGTCTTTGCGGTGCCGTTTTGACCTGTCCTCAGAGTCATGCCTCCTCTCGTGCTTGTCTCGCCTCCTCTCCTTTCCATCACTATGCTTATCTCGTTTTAGCTCCTTCTCCCCTCTCCTCTCGTCACGTTCACGCCACCTTTTCCCCTTCCTATCATCTTCCGAATCCTCCTGCTTGGGTGCTGGTGGGAGGTCAGTCTGCTCAGGCTCCATTTGAGGAGGATCAAGGTTCAAAGAACTCGATTCGCCCTCATCGCGATGAGCCCTGAAGTCATGGAGAAAATTTTGCATTAGATATGTACCAAATACAATTAAATAAAACACTGTAAGATTTATCAGACAACCATTTCAATTTTCAACATGATATCACATTTCAAAAGAGGGATGGTTGCTCTCAAAACTGGATACTTACTTGTACAATCCTAGACCCTGCACTTGTGCTGCTTCAGCATGCCCTGCTCCCAAGTCCTCTGCAGTTGATCCTCTCTTAATCAGCTCAGCATATTCATGCTTATCCAAGCGATTGCCCTTAGGTCGATTGCTGCGCTTAGGAGCTAAGCCAAGAGCCTCACGCATAGCCTGTTCCTCCTCTTCCTTCACTCTCCTGATTTCTTCCTTCAGAGCATCTTCCGTGTCAGATTTCTTATCCCGAGTATACCAGAAAAGGTCCTTTCCTGGAATAGATAGCCACAATCAATCATATCAACATGCAGAATTCATATGGATATTAGTAATTAGCAAATCACAGGCCTCGAGAACTCAGTCCACAGCGCTGCCATTCCAAGCAAATGCAAGCACAGAAGTGACAGCCATCAAAACAATTGACAAGCCCTGTCAGATACAAGCAGAGGGTTTTGCTACTATTAGTCTATGACATAATATAAGGTGGTCAACTGGTCATGACTAAAACCTATGGTACAAGTAAAGCGTTGCAAAAGGTAGCAAAAACACACAGACACACAGCATTATGGAACTGGCTCGTGGGACCTATAATCCTATATGATGTTCACAAGGTATTCCTCCTAAAGATGAACAACTAAAAAG